ACGAGGCAAGGGCTACGACGCTGTCGAACTGCGGAAGCTCTCAGGAAAGACCATCGAATGTGATAGACGTGCTTGTGGATGGTGTTCGTGCATCTGCCCTTGTAGATACTGGAGCCGCCGTATCTGCGATGGACGCAAAGCTTAGCTGATTACTGCGCAAAGTGACCACGCCACTTTCCGGGCTCTCCCTCCGTACAGCCAGCGCCCAAAGCATTCACCCTACAGCGATGTGTACAGCCCGCCTCATGATTCAGGACGTGATGTATGCCGTCGAATTCATCATAATTCCTTCATGCTCTCACGACGTCATCCTAGGATGGGATTTTCTCTCCCGCCACGACGCCGTCATTCATTGCACACCAGCAGAAATAGAACTGACACCATTCTCTTCTTTGACGCCGGCCGACAGTCCATCTACTGCAAGCAAATTACTCGTCAGAGACGACACGCAAGTGCCTGCAAACTCGTCCGTGGCGGTGTCGGTCCACTGTGCAAGTCTTTCAGACACCGCTGCACTCCTCTCTCACCATTTCATCATGTTTTCACCAGAAAAGGTTTGCTGGTTCCTTTCGCGACCGTGCAAGTAACTCGCGGCAGCACCACTATTTTTGTTCTGAACTCATCCCCGTACAGTGTTACGTTGGTGCGAGGGGAATGTCTCGGCAGCGTGGAATCCATCGAAGATGCACAAGTCATGCATCAACCTGATGACACGCACTGCCGAAGTTCCAATACGCTTAGTGCTGTTTCTACATCTGTTTCATCATCTGCTGATGTATTTGGTCCTTCCATTGCCGACAACCTTACGCCGGTCCAGCGCTCCCAGCTTCTGGCCCTGTTGGAAGAATTCCGCTCTTCTTTCGATGTCTCTCAACCTTCTCTCGGCCGCACATCCACTGTTACGCATCGCATTGACACAGGCGCACAACCACCACTACGGCAACGTCCATATCGCGTATCTCCCACAGAACGCCGTGTAATCAACGAGCAAGTGGACGACATGCTACGCCGCGATGTTATTCGACCCTCTAACAGCCCCTGGGCGTCTCCTGTCGTTCTCGTCGCGAAGAAGGACGGTTCTGTGCGGTTTTGTGTGGACTACCGGCGTCTCAACAAGATCACTCGTAAGGACGTGTACCCCCTACCGCGTGTGGATGACGCGATTGACAGCCTGCAAGGAGCCGAATTCTTTTCATCTCTAGATTTGCGCTCAGGGTACTGGCAAGTACCTATGGCTGAGGACGCTCGACCGAAGACCGCTTTCGTCACTCCCGACGGCTTGTACGAATTCAACGTCATGCCGTTTGGGCTGTGCAATGCGCCTGCCACCTTTGAGCGCATGATGGATACCGTTCTCCGTGACCTAAAATGGCACACGTGCCTGTGCTACCTCGATGCGTCGTCGTTTTCGCTCCGGACTTCTCCACGCACCTTCAACGCCTGCGGCATGTTTTAACGCGTCTGAGTGACGCCAGTCTGCAACTGAACCTAAAGAAGTGCCGATTTGCAGCTCGGCAGTTGACAATACTCGGCTACGTCGTGTCCAAGGACGGAATTCTCCCCGATCCAGCCAAGCTTCGGGCCGTGACCGAGTTACCCCAAGCCGACATCCATCAAGGAACTGCGCAGTTTCATAGGACTGTGTTCCTACTTTCGGCGCTTCATCCGAAACTTCGCGTCTATCGTATCGCCGCTGACAAAGCTCCTCAGTGGTAACGGGCCCCTCCATTCGTGGTCATCACAGTGTGACGACGCATTCACAACGCTCCGTCGTTTACTGACGTCGCCTCCCATACTCCGCCACTACGACCCTACTGCCCCTACAAAGGTACACACGGACGCCAGTGGTGTCGGTCTCGGCGCTGCCCTTGCGCAGCGCAAACCAGGGTTCCCGGAATATGTCGTGGCGTATGCAAGCCGTACGCTTACAAAAGCCGAGACTAATTACACCGTCACTGAGAAAGAATGTCTGGCAATCGTCTGGGCCCTTACCAAGTTCCGACCTTATTTATATGGTCGCCCATTTGATGTAGTCACCGACCATCACGCACTATGCTGATTGTCATCATTGAAAGATCCCTCAGGCCGTCTCGCCCGGTGGGCACTTCGCCTGCAAGACCACGACATCCGCGTGCTGTACCGCAACGGAAGGCAACATGCTGACGCCGACGCCCTGTCGCGCTCTCCCTTGCCTGACGACAATGCCCACGACTCAGCGTCTCACCTTGCCGTTTCTTCCATTAGCATTCATGCCGTTGCTACTGAACAGCGCAAGGATCAATGGATTGCCTCACTGATAGACTTGCTGACTGATCCATCCACTCGCGCGCTGCGTCGTTAAGCCCACCATTTCGCCGTTCGCGACGACCTTCTCCACCGACGCAATTACAGCGGTGACGGCCGCCAGTGGCTACTAGTCATACCCCGCAGTCTGCGCTCTGACATATGCGAATTCTTTCATACTGATCCGCAATGTGCGCACTCCGGCGTATCGAAGACTTACCAGCGCATTCGCCAACGGTACTTTTGGCGCGGCATGTACCGCTATGTGCAGAAATTCGTTCGCTCCTGCATAGAATGTCAGCGCCGCAAAACTTCAACGCACCTTTCGCCGGTGCAACCTCTACCTTGCCCTGCCAGGCCGTTTGGGCGCGTTGGCATCGATTTGTATGGGCCACTACCACTAACGTCGGCCGGTAACCGCTGGGCCATTGTTGCTGTGGACCACCTCACGCGATACGCCGAAACTGCCGCTCTCCCCGCGGCTACAGCGAGCGATGTGGCCTCCTTCCTGCTCCAACGATTCATGCTGCGACACGGTCCACCTCAGGAACTGCTCAGTGATCGAGGCCGCGTCTTCCTGTCTGAAGTCGTCGAAGCCATTCTCAAAGAGTGCAACGTTGTTCACCGCAAAACTGCTGCTTACCACCCGCAGACGAATGGCCTCACTGAACGCTTCAACCGTACGCTCGGCGACATGCTCTCCAAGTACGTCGCCGCCGATCACACAAATTGGGATTCCATTCTACCCTTCGTCACCTACGCATATAACACCGCCCCTCAGAGCGCTACTGGATTTTCACCTTTCTTTTTATTGTATGGAAGGCACCCGTCGCACACCATCGACACTATACTTCCGTACAAGCCAGATCTGTCAGAGTGGGCGCCTATTTCTGCTACAGCCAAGCTTGCTGAAGAGTGTCGAGAGCTTGCAAGGACCTTTACAGCGCATGATCAAGAGCGGCAAAAAGGCATTCGCGCTGACACCAGCACTACTGCGCCCATGTTCCTCCCTGGAGCGCTCGTCTGGCTCTCGATCCCTACCACTTCAACTGGCCTATCTTCAAAACTATTGCCCAAATACGAAGGCCCCTACCGTGTCGTCGAACGCACTTCCCCTGTAAATTACTTGATCGAACCCATCGAACCATCTTCGGACATGCGCCGTCGAGGGCGCGACATTGTCAACGTGGAGCGCCTCAAAGCCTACCACGACCCGCTCATAGTAACCAGCTGCTAGGTCGCCAGGCGGCTCCCTCTTCGTACCCGGGGTAGTTGTGGTGAAGCCTTCGAACAGTGGGTCGTCCTCTCCAGCGCCTTCTAGTGGGTTGCCCTTTTTAGCAAGAAGAAGAGCAGCTCGTGCAGAGAGTTGGTACCCGCATTGACTGTCGCTGTCAAGCATCGTCGACAAGCGTACGCCAATAAACGTCTCAACACAACCATTAAATTTTATGGACATTCCAAGACATTGCAAACGAATTGCGAACCACCGTTTGAGTGCCACACGTGCCACCCTCCTTGATAATTTTCAGTTTCGTATCCCTTCTTTCAACTGCTGTCACCACAGAGGGTTTCATTGATTCCGGCAGGAAGGTCAAACGATCGCACTCAAGTGCTGAACCAAGAACAGCGTGTGTTAACAAAAGTTTGATAGCTGCCATAAAATAAAGGACGACAAAATCCTGCCGAACTTATGTAAGACTGCACATTGGCAGCAAAGGCAGAAGCTCCCATTAGAAAGCTCTGAGACCTTTAAGTTTATGGACAAGGTAGCAGATGTGATATTTCCAGCAAGCTCAATAATGTTGACGCTTCTCCTGACAGGAAAGTTTAAGCGTAGTTCATGAGGATGGGCTGCACATAGTTTATGAGCCTCGCGTGGCTGACAAGCAGCCGGAGCCACGCTTTAGCAGTGCAGGTGCCAGCGCAAAGCCTTATCTGTCACCTAGGCAACTGCCCTCTTCCCTCACTCAGTGAGCTCCTGCAGTATGCTATGGTCTTTTATTTTTTCTCCCCCCATGCTTCCTTCGTTCGCTCTGCATTTTATCCTGCTCCTGAACGACTTCAACACTTGCTCCCCAGTGTTGAACCCAAGGCACTTATTTTTAGAAGCGCACTTGCTACTGCATTTGTCCGAAGGATTTTCGAGCGACTGCATTATAAGGGGTCTTTTATCTTGATGAACTGCACTACATAGGGATCTATGGGAGCTTTAACAGGTGTCGAAAAAGATCGATTTGTAACAGAGCCCTCCACTATAAGCAGTTACTTTATAAGTGATCTGCACTGCAGTTTCTTATGAGTTTCTGAAGTGTGTGCCCTGCAACCACCAAGCTGAGGTTGGGGAAGCAACGTGTCGAAGTGTGCATAACAGACTAGTCCAGCGATAGGTTCTGTTTTCTGAGTGTGCGTCTTTGACCGAGCTTTACAAGATAATTGATCACCATTAAGGCAGTAGCAGCTGCAACAAAGTGGTTGTGAACACGCAATTAATGCTCTCTATTAAAGTTGTAAATTGAACATTGTGGTGACTTCCCTCCTTCTTGCCTCTGTTCGAACTGTGCTCTGGGTTTTTTGCAATACTCTGTGAGCAATCTTAAGTTTTCAATATCGGCCAAATAGATCTGTGTCACCATCGTTTCTACGTATTGTTTTATTAGACAAGTTTTATGTGTTCCGTGAGGGTGGAATGAACGTAAAGTGACTGCCCTTTCTTCCAGGTGGGGCGTGTCAACAGTCTCACCATTGATCATGCTGAACAACGCCTCTACTGGATAGACATAGATTCCAACCACATCGGGTGCTGCGAAATGGATGGTGAGTGCCTTGCCGTTTATCCAGGAATACAATAGTTTCTTCTCAAGGCTTGGTGAGAATATGCTTCTTGCAGAACACATTGTTATGAACAGCTCAGCCAGATCTGACAGTCATGTGCTCCGAGGAGAGTTTAGAAGTTCTCACTCAGGTGTCTTCTTTGCATGCCTTCGGTCACTCCCTTCATAGCAGCCGGTTGCAAAGGTGGAAGTGCTGTGCCAATTGGGCCAATCTGACCAGCTGCGCCAAGCCGCACCAAAACGGCAATTGAAACGTGCAACCTCATATTTAGGCAAGAGTTTTACCATAGGCCGGGCAACACGCGTGCGCTACACACAGAACACAACCACGTTCATAAAAAATTCTGCCGCGTCCATATCAAACATTGTATTTCGGATCATGCATGAATCTTGCACCACGTGAACACTGTGCATAATTCTTGTTAAGGTGGCATTTGTGTGCATACCTCAATAGGCGACTCTATGTATGTTTTAGCAGCAAAGGTGTTAGGCCAACTATAATGACCGGAGTGCATGCAAAAAAACTCGACGACACCATTGCCGAGCAACCGCCGTGCACATGCTGTGCTCTGCGATTACTCGGCAGCGGTGTGGCGAGCATTTTGCCATATAAACTGGGAAACAAAAAAATCTGTCACTGGCGTAGCAATGACTGCAATGGCAGCAATTTGTAATAGGGATGCCGCATCACTATGGGTGTAACGCTGCCTTGCGAAAACCGTGCCCCAACGACTGGGGACTATCTATAATCTTAGGACCCTTGAATGAGATCACGCGCTCAACATTTGCATTAGAGTTTGTTCTAGAACTCATGTGGTCGCTAGCTAAATGCGGGAATCTTCGATGGCACATGTATAAATGCTGCCGCACTTTCCTTCGTGGCAGATTATCGACGGCCAATGCTTCATATTTGCTGCTATCTGTCTACAGTGTGTATTGCTTGTAGAGTGACATTTCGTTTTCCAGGCACAGGTTAGCCCACATAGGAAGGTCACTCATGAAAATGGTGACTGCTGCCTTCGTCGACTTCCTGACCCCGTGACAATAGGAAGGCTGACAACTAATTTTTTTGGATTTGACATCGTGACACTCGCAACTACTAAACGCTGGTGTAAAAGAATAAGTACGGCCACTTGAGGAAGAAATGGTCTTATCACACAATCTATTTCCGTTGAGAGAGTGCACCGCGTAACGTGGTTTTACAAGCCGTGCACTGATGCTTGTCGATATTGCACGTGCCAGCTATTACAACCAGGCCCTTGAATAGAATCAAATTTCAGGACAGCTGCTTGAGCGACCTCCATTTTCCCCCGCGTCTTTTTAAGCTCGGTCAAGACGAGCGGCGTGTCTCCTCTCTGCTCGAGCATTCGACGGCAGTTCTAATACGCGGTGCAATGCTTACGGGTACGCCCACAGAGCAACAGAGATTGGCGCTTTTTTTAATCTCTGCTTCAGCAGCACTCATCACCCCAGCTCTCGCAATTTTACGCGCAGGTCGAATGTTTGATGCGCGGGAAATGGTACCAACTTGTAGTTTAGGCCAAACATGGCGGCGACGGCGAAAACCCGTCGAGTGTCCATATAGTTCCTATCGTAACAAAAAAATTGCCACTTAGGTGCCTAGCAATGGTGCGGCGAGCGCATCTGAATTTCCTTGTGGTTCTCATGTCGGCTGTGGCACTTCAATGACCAGTATATAAGTTTTCTACATTTGTTTTTATAGAGCCCTATGGGTTTAGAATGAAGATAACCTTTATTATATAGTAGCTCATCTCTAGTCTTGAGTTGCTGTGTATGTTGGATGCCCTATGGGTTTAGAATGAAGATAACCTTTATTATATAGTAGCTCATCTCTAGTCTTGAGTTGCTGTGTATGTTGGATGCCCTATGGGTTTAGAATCAAGGTAACCTTTATTATATAGTAGCTCATCTCTTGTCTTGAGTTGCTGTGTATGTTGGATGCAGTGTTTTAATCACATTGTGAACATTGCAACATTATAAAATTTTTTTCCTCATTTTTCGGAGGTCTAGGAAGCTTTCCAGAACGTCTTTTGTGTTTTTTTCTGTAGTTTTTCTTTTAATTACTGCGCTTTCACCTTTGATATTGTAAGATTTAATACATATGAATTTTGGGTAAGTCTGGTCGTTTGATCAGCATTGCATGCTTAGTAAAAACTACTGAAATGTTTTGTGTTTACCAGAAAGCGGTAATTCTAATTAACAGTGATGTGTGAGTCGAGAAATCTGCTCCAAAACTAAATTTTGGTTCTCCAAAACACGCCTTTTGTTGCTTCAGAGCTGTTCCGGAGCTCCTTTTTTATTGCTCCAAAGCTGTCGAAACCGCATTGTTCCTGCTCCCAAAGGCCAATTTTCAGGGTGCGGCCCATACACGGAACTTTTTTTTTTTTTGCGAACTAAAAACATCTACTAGTTACCCAACGAAGAGCGTTTATTGCAGTATGCCGCGTGTGCGCTTAATCGTCGTCACTCGACGACTCCTCTAACTCGGAGTCCGAGATAGTGTGTTGCGGAGCACCATCATTCTACAAACAGTCATCTTCGGTGCCATTCAGGCTGTTGGATATCTCGGTGACCTTAAAACTTCGGGACACAATGTCCGTCGACACCGAGCTCCACGCCGACAATACCCAACCGAGAACAGTAGCAAGCGATGCCCTCTTCAGCCGTTCGGTCGGCGTCTGCTCATGCTTGCCGGTTGCCATCCATTCCGTGTAGAGTCTTCGGAATTCAACTTTGAACAGTCGATTCACGCTCACATTCAATGGTTGCAACATTCCTGTGAGGCCGCCTGGAATCACGGCCATGTCTGTGCCGACACGGCACAGCTGCTCCTTCACCTTATCGGTAAGGTGGCCGCAGAAACTATCCAACACTAAAAGTGAATGTTTGTCCAACAAAGCTCCCGGTCTGTTCTGCCAAACACTTTTCACCCAGTCAAGCACCAAATCATCGTTCATCCATCCTTTCTCTTGGGCTCTAACTATGATGCTCTTGGGGAAAACTTCGTTGGGAATTCTTTTCCTTTTCAAAACAACGTACAGGGGTGGCTTCCACCCGTCTGCGGTCACACAAAGCATCACGGTGCAGCATTGGCACTCAGCGCCGGTGGTCCGCACGGCAACACTCTTCTTGCCTCTTACTTCGACTGTGTAGTTCTCGGGAGAGTCAAACCACACAGGAGTTTGATCAGCGTTCGCTATTTGCGACAACAGATAATTGTGCTGATGGCGCAGGCCGATGACATGCTTGTGAAAACTAAGCAGCTTGTCGGTATAGTCTTCTGGCAGCCGCTGGCACAGCGTGGTCCTTCGCCGAAACGAGAGTCCCTTCCTTTTCAGAAACCTTCGCACCCAGCCAGCACTAGCCTTGAAATCCCCGGCCGGTGTATTTTTCGCACGTGTCAAGGCTAGTGCCTTCATGCGCCGCATGTCCGTTGCGAGCGCAAAACCATCGTTCCGCACCTCAGTCACATAGCGGAGCAACTCCTCTTCCAAATCAGGATACTTGCACTGTTTTCCTCGGAAAGCGCGCTTTTTGATGTTGGTGTTCTGCAAGGCTTTCTTCTGAGCGCACCAACGTCGAACACACTTCTCGTCAACGTCGAATTTTCTGCCGGCAGCCCATTTCCCGTGCTCGAGAGCAAACTCTATCACCTTCAACTTATAGCCAGTTGTATAGCGATTGAGCTGCTTGCCCATCGTGCCAAACGTAAACGTCCCGCAGAAAACTAGCTAGAGTGCCAGAGTCATTCAACGCTGCACAATACTCGAGCACATGGCAGGCTGAACAGCACAATAACCGAACAACGCACAAATACCAAAGTTGGTGATGCTGATGCCGATATGGATAGCGCGTTTGTATAGAAGTGTCCGAAGTTGATAAAATCCCGCTTTAACCTTGAGTTGGCGGGTGTATGAACACTACTGAAAAAACTTAAAATTTTTAGCCAACTTCATGAACATATTAGCATGAAGAAAACCAACAAATTATTCTAATGACGTACTATATGGTGATGATGATAATTGCATTACGCCTCGTAGCTCACACACGCGTGCGCATTTGGAATACGTATGGGTGAAGGAAAGTGCGGATGCGGCCCTTACACGCAACTTTTTTTTTTAATACATGCTTCTCAAAAACGGTATGCAGCCCTTACATGCGTGTATACGGTAGTAGCTGACTTTGGATCAGATGCCACCACATGCCCACGCTTCATACAGTCAAAGTGGGACAGGGTGCATTGACATCACGTCTTTCCCCTTTTTGACAATTCAGTCGTGTAGATAAAAGTTTGAAATGATGCACATAGAACTAGATTTTATGCGATGGATATACTAATCACTTTCACTGTGTTTAACTATATAGTCATTTGGAGGCATTTGCTTGTCTAAAGAAGGAACGAGCACAAGGTATTATAGGGGCAGTAAAAATGAGGCATCCACGTGCTAGTGCATGCACTGTTGGGGCACGTTAGTCTGTTAAAACATGCTAGTGCATGCTAGCGTGCTCCAACATTTTCCTAAAGCTCTTATTCTCGTGAATAAAACTTTGAGCGTCATGTGATGCCAACAGGCACGTAAAGAGTGTTTCACACTTGCAGTCATGGCTAGTAGTAGTAGTGCTTACTAAGACTCCCAGGTCTGTCTGTGTATATGTGCCTTCATTTCTTCCTGTTTTTTTACGTGCACTACAAGGAAACTTCCTGCATGAAAGACTCATGTGCGATCCCAGTCGAGCCCGACGCACAACTTGTCTTGCCTATGTCCCTCCATTGTTCGGCATGGTCTCATAGCGCAGCGTAGAGTATTGAACGTGTTCCGGCGTACCTGAAAACTCGAGCCAGGCTCGGGCCAGAAGCTCCAGGCAAAGGGCTGGGGCCTGGTTTGAGGTGCCGGGCTTGGGTTGGGCCCAGCTTCGACATTGCCCAGTTCTTTTAATGTGATGCTGAAGTGAAAGACGGGC